AGACGGCTGTTTCTGTCAATGGTAAGTTTTAATTTAAAATTGTGATAGCCTACTAACTTTTAACGTAAGAAAAGTTTACTGTAGGCTGTGTTTACATGTTTTGCCACTTGCTTGAGCATCTTAATATATAAACTTAAAATATAAATGAGTACAGAAGTAAAATGCATTTAATAATATTGCGCTTAAACATGAATGTCTATGAAAGATAGTATTACTGTGTGAAAAGATAATCACTATGCTGAGAGAGAGAAAAAAATAGTAACAACGTTCAAATTTGAAATCAAAATAGGCATCGTAGGACACTGAAGCCTGTGTTATACTTTCCGCGTGCGTGCTGTACGTGTACGCGTCCGGATTGCTCATGCGGAAAGTATAACACAGGCTTAATAAAGCACACTGAGCCCGTGCTGCTTCTGCACCGCATAGGCTAAGAACCGCACATGGACTGCACTGCAAACGGATCCTCCCTTAATTTCGTTCACTCTTTGCTGATATAATACAGCACTCAACTGCCATGCATGCACTATAGGGATTTAAGAATCAAAGAAGACATCAGCGATTTCGGAGTCGACACCGAGAGTCGATTCCAGTGCTGGAGTCGAATCCGACTCTATTCAGAGAGTCGAGGAATCGACTCTTTTGGAGTCGACTCATCATCCCACACACAAGTCCGGAGAGAGAGAACAAAGTCAATAGTTGTGGAACTCCAAGGCTGTCAAGGCTATTTTATTCACTTAAACGTCAGATGAAGTGATAATTTTCTCTTTAATACAGATGATGCCAACGTATTTTTCGACGAGTCGCTATGCTAGCAATAATAACATTACCTGCTTGATGGAAAGGGTTGCCAGGTTTTTCTTTTTACAACAAAACCCTCCCAATTGCTACCAAAAACTAGCCCAAACTAACCGTGTTTCGAGGGGTCCCCCGGTAAAAATCGCGTTCCGGGGGCTAAAATACACGTTATTGGGGTTGCTTCAACCCGCTGACATGAAAAACAACCTGCAGCAACAGTGATAAAGTATCCCAGGTTCCACGGGAAAACTGCGGACTTGCCAACACTGTGACGGATACAATGGACACGAGCGCTGTCGTGGCGCGACCACAACAGCTTGTCTTTGTATGGGAAGCCAAACAACCCAAATGTGGGACGAAACAGCACGGTATTAAAGTGTTCGCGCCGCGCTGACCTGTCATAGGCGCGGCGCGACCGACTCGACAGCGCAGAGAGGACGTGTTTACTAGCGCCACCGAACTGTCAGCGCGGCGCTGATCAGTTACAACAGCGCAGCGCGAACATTACTCTTCTTCTTCTTCTTCTTCATGTTTTATGGCGGGTGGTCCCACATTTGGGTTGTTTGGCTTCCCATATCTTTGTCTAATTTGGCGAGCCCGGTCTCATGAAAATACGTATTTGGCGTACTATTTATATGCACTTTCATGAGATCGGGTTAAATTTGGCACGGTCTCCCTGCTGCACTAATAGCAGTAAGGCTTTCCTCTGTGTATACATATCCCAGAAGTACAATTTTAGCTGTATTATTTGTGTCCCCTTCAAAAATCGCTCTTGAGAAATTTTATGTTTATTGTCCCCCCCAACTGTTAGACGAAATTTATGCCCCTGCCTCAGGCCTATCATGATGTAGATGAATTTATTTCTTGATCGGAACAGATTTGGAGAAATGTAGCATTGCATCAGTGTCTCAGCAATGGATGCTCTGCAAGTGAATGGGTGCCGTCAGAATGAGAGTCCAAACAGCTGATAAAGACATCACAATAATCCACAAGTAATCCACAGCACTCCAGTCCATCAATGAACGTCTGGTGAAGCCAAAAGCTGTGTGTTTTAAGAAACAAATCCATCAAGGCATTTTTACTTCAAACCGTTGATTCCACCTAAAATACAAGCTCTCTATCCATAATATTGCTTTCTTCAGCGAAAAAGTTGTCTCGTCTGAATCAGGAGCGAACTCTGCTCATGTCAAGCACCATTTTCAAGCAAAAACAGTCCAAAACAGTTCCGAACAAAAATGTGTGTGGATTTTGATGTAAGAGGACAACAGGGGATCGACATTTTCACTGGAGGCATTAGTATGGATTATGTATTTTAGACTACTCTGGCCAGAAGCGATAGTTTAAAGTTAAAATGCCTAAATTATGGATTTGCTTCTTACAAAGATGTAGCCTTTCACAGGACATTAACTGATGGACTGGAGTCATGTGGATTACTTGTGGATTATTGTGATGTTCTTATTAGCTGTTTGCACTCTGACGGCACCCATTCACTGCAGAGCATCCATTGGTGAGCATGTGATGTGATGCTAAATTTCTCCAACCCTGTTCTGATGAAGAAACAAACTCATCTAGATCTTGGATGTCCTGAAGGTGTGTACATTTTCAGCAAATTTTTATTTTTGGGTGAACTATTCCTTTAAGTAAGCCGCTCAGAAACAAAAGGAGGGTGGCTGGGACAAGTACAAAGAGAGTTAGAAAGTCTACTCTGAGCCTTTGAAGCTAGTCTTAAATCATTTAAGGAGAGAGAAAAAAAGTTGTACCAAAGTTGAATAAGTGAATAAATCTGCTGCCTTCTCTAAGAGCAGTTGAAAACACATCCAACATGCTTGACACGCAACAGCGCCCCCTATTTACCTGGATCTTCTACTTTACAGATTGATTTGACTATAAATAAGAAAGTATAGTTGTTACATGTGAGTTGGTTATTGTATTATGTTTATGACATTGGATATTTTTGTTTACACTGTATTATTTTTATTTCTAAATGTACAGTGCTATGTGCGGGTTTGTGTATTTGAAGGGAGGCATTATGGGGCGGTCAGCTGTGAAGGGTGTAAGGGGTTCTTCAAGCGAAGTGTGCGCAAGAGTCTGACATACAGCTGCCGCAGTAACCAGGACTGTGTGGTGAACAAACACCAACGCAACCGCTGCCAGTTCTGTCGTCTCAGGAAGTGCTTGGAGATGGGCATGAAGATGGAGTGTGAGTAAATAAATAAACAAAAACTCTGACCACATGGTCATACCTTGACAAAAAAGGTACAAAACTGTCACTAGGGCAGTACCTTTTTAACTTAAATGTACACTTTAGGTACTAATACAAAGATGTACCTTTTTAGCTTTTGTACCTTAGCGTACTGCCACAGTGACAGCTTTGTACCTTTTCTTTGTGAGAGTGTATACCTGCGTCTGTTCTTCTGAGAGCATATAACCTCATCTGAACTCATTAACACCCCGTGGCCATTGAAACAGTGCTGGTACTTGGCTGGAGCTCAGCTGGAGGATCTGTAAACCTCTTTCAGAACTGGCCCATGTTACCAATTACACGAGAGCCGTACACTGTCGTAACTGACTATGATACTATGCAGCGTTGTGGCCCCTTTAAATGTTTCATAATTGCACAGTGAAAATTTGGAAGGCTGAAGCTTCTGACAGTATTTATGCATTTTGTATTACTCACATAGCTGTACAGAGTGAGAGGAAACCCATTGATCTTCCTAGAGAAAAACCTGCCAACTGTGCAGCATCCACAGAGAAAATCTACATCAGGAAAGACCTGCGGAGTCCCTTCATCGCAACACCAACCTTCATCTCTGAGAAAGACGCCTCACGGTGAGACTCACATTCACAAAGCATCTGCATGCTCTACAATACATGATGCATACAACTAGCTTAAACCAGAGGTCTAGTTAAAAAAAAAAAGCGCATATACTACTATAGTGTAGTATAGTTCAATACGGGGTATTCATTTACTGTAGCTTTATTTTATTTTACTATTTATTTCTTAGACAAGTATATCAGAAAAGCATCTGCTAAATTAATTAATTTAAATATTTTTATCATGATTTAATCCTCTGTGCAGGTCCAGGCTGTTGGACTCTGGGATGCTTGTCAATATCCAACAACCTTTAATACAAGCTGATGGCACATTACTATTAGCAACAGACAAAGTAAAAACATCTACATAACTTTTCTGTGTCTGTCAGTTTTTTTTCTTTTGTGTTTTGTGCAGTCCAGGGTTTCCCAAGCCGGAGTTTGTAATGACCTTGGGTGTTTTAGATTGTGATTGCCACAATACCAAATTATACTCTGATCTCATATACAAAAAGTTGTCATGAATTTTTTTTTTTGTCATATTTATTGAAAGATTAAACATTAAATGAAATCTCAAGGGGTTATTCAAGAATAATAATTTAGATCAGAGGGGTTGAACTGACAGTTAAACGGTTGGGAGTCCCGGATCCAAAATGTTTTGGTATTTGTTGCTGTTAAATTGAGTATTTTTTAAATAATAATTATACATATTATAAACATTCAGAAAAAGCTGTAGGTGTTAGTTTTTTTTTTCCACTTTAAAATATATATGAAGATGTTCTTTTTTCATCAGGCGGAGTCAGGACAAGGTGATCTGGGGACGCTGGCTAATGTGGTTTCATCATTAGCCAATCTGAACGATCCGGTTAGTAACGGAGAGCTGGAGGAGTCACCCAGTGAAATCACACGGTGTGTTATTAATGCAGACAATAGTTGTGTATGTTTTTCACAGTGTAAAGAGATTATGGTATTAGTTATAGGAATAAGTAATCTTAAAAAGAAAATTACTCCATTCCAAACCCGTGTGACTTCTTTCTTCTGTGGAAGGGGTTGTTTTGACCATAAAACAAAAGAAGATGGCAACATCTTAGTTTGAATCAAACAAACCTGATGTATGGCTCCTAAAGATGTGGAATATGGCACACAAGTCATGAAGTCTGAACATTGTACAGAAAGTGGTACAGATTTGGAATGACATAAGGTTAAGTAAATTTCAAAAAGCTGGTTTTAAACTGTACCATCAAAACAAGGTAAAAAAAAAAAAAAAAAAACGGGATAATTTTTTGTAATTG